GCAAGAAATGAGAACCAACGTGTGAAGCAACATGCCTTGATGCTGCAATGTCCACTACCCCGTCTACAAATATGTTTCTCTAAACAAAAGCCAGAAACTCTTCAACCCGATCTTCTTTTATTACAATATCACTGTTCCCCTTCTCAAAATCTTCTTTGAAGATCTGCAAAAGTGTTTAACGTGTCCCTTCTTATGGCAGTAAAAATACTCCACTTCTCCACTGGAAATCCCACGACCCCTGTTGTATCTATGCTGCTGCTTCCCTGTGTAGTTCATCTTGCTCTTTCCTTTGTTCTGAGCTACCAAAAATGATTCAACCTCGTTTTTTGCCCCTGAAGTAGATGCAAACATTTTTCCTAATTTTCTCCAAGCTTCCTCAGATAAGGCGGCATCATAAATAACTGAAAATTTCAAGCTATTATCCCCTAATGAATTTGACACCGCGGTCTTCATCGTCTCCCAACTGTCATGCAAAGATGTCAACAGCCTCATAGCCTTCACCTCCTCATCAATCTTGACACCCATCCCTTCTAATTTATTCGATATATCAGTGAGCTCATTAATGTGGGAATTCACCGAGGTACTCTCCTCCATGTGGATATTAAAATACTTCGTCCATAGAAGTATTTTTATATTGGCAGAACGTTTTTCATACCTGTCTTGCAAGGCCTTCAATAGTTCCTTCGCTAAAGTCTCTTTCGCCACCAGACTGCATACTCCATCGATAATGATATTCTGATGTTTGCAACGGCCTGCTCATTCATCTCACTCCAAGCTTATTAGTCATCTCTGCTGGTCTCTCCCCCAAAGTCTTGTGTATTTTCTTGCACGTAAGAAGATCATTTACCTGCATCTTCCAAGAACTAAAATTCTCTCGACTGAACTTCAAAATCCCATCATAATAATGGTGTGCTTGCTATATGTCTCCCATGATCTGCAACCTGGCTCTGATACCACTTGTTGGAAATTAACAGTCCTGTATAGTTTCTCCTTTCACAAAAAATATCCAAACACAACCACAATATGCAAATAAGGAAGAAAACTGTAAAGCCACAATATAACGACACAGCAGATTATACTGGTTCACCACTAAAGGCTACGTCCAATTGTGGGTAATTCACTAATAATGTTAATTAGGATTGGAATACAAAGCTCTCCTAAAAAATATCTCCTAGAGGTCCCAGCAAAAGCCTCCTAGCTTCTAAGTATTTTAACACAATTAATACTCAATTAATACTTAGGTACATGAATGAAAAAACTCATAAGAATCAAGATCTAATTACCCCGAATATGTTGATCTTGATTAGTCTCAATGTCTCTCCCTTGAAACTGCCACGAAAACCCTATGAAAAATGGCTGAAACGACTTCAAATTCGGCTTGCAAAACCCTAAACCTGAACTGTAGTATTTATAGACTCAAAATAGTGTCATGGTGCTACGGACGGAGAAAGATCCCACCCGCGCACCCTTTGACAGCACTGTGACGCCTTCTGTAGCGCCACGGCGCTGCATCCTTGACCTCTCTAGACTGCAGCGCTCGTTTCCTCTGTTTTTCATCTCTGCTTCTACCCCGACGCATCCTGACTTGATCCCGACTCATCCCTAGCTCGTTCCGATATCGTTTTGGCTCCACCAATCCCAACACATACTTAATAATACAAGGAGAAAATCCTTAGCATATTTTGTTGACATTTTTTTTATATCAAAATATTCATATATTATCACTGATTTGAGTATAAGTTAATGGTTGGAATTATCACATGTTATTGAATTCAAAAAAAAAAAATCTTATATTATCAATAAGCAAATCTTTCTATTTATGGATAAGTATCGCGCACATCGACCATCATATTACACTTGAATCAAAGCATGGAAGCTGAAAAATTAACCAACAAAAGTTGACTATATAAATAACAAATCTATATTTTTCTCCAATGAAACAGAAAAAAAAAAGTACAAAATGAAGAATATTACGCTTAAAAAGATGTCTGATTTCTATGTGAAGAAAAGTATCAATATGGTTGAAAAACATTTGTACACTACATTTTAAAGCCGCTTATCTATACTAAAAACATCAAAATCTCTGCCGAACATGTTTGGAACAGAACAAAGATCCCCCATTTGTCATCGTCAATCTTTCCAGGCCTCCTGCGAGTCAGTGGCCAGCTCCGCGGCGGCTCGGCCCTGAATACGCTTTATATACGTGAAGAAGTTTCGCCGGAGAAGTCACCGACGGAGAAGGATGATGTTTGAGAGGTCTTGAGGAGTGGACTTGCATGGAGGAGAGTAAGAGGAAGAAGATGAAGATGGCAATGGCATTGAGAGCCAAAAGGAGAGAATGAGACTTCATTGGAGAGAAAGGGAGGAAGAAGAAGAAGAAGATGGTATATTGGTGAGGTGTTTGGTAAATGGAAAGATTGTCTATATAAGAAAAAATGAAAAGGGGGGTGAGGGTTTGGTGTTTGACTTTGGGGGGTAGATGAATACTTTTATTTTTGTATTTGTGGTTTTGAAAATGGGGGATTTCCCCGAATCCTCAAAGTTTGACATTTTGAATGGAAAAGCTTGATACTTGGTAAGTTTTTGGAGATGTGAACATAGTTTTTGCTGAATATAACTTCTCTACAATTAAAGATAAAAAATGTTATCCCTCAATTTTAATGCTTACATTGTAGGTTTCATTTAACGAGATGGAATTAATGACAAAAACTTATTAGACACAAAATTTGAAATCTAAATGTCTATGAGAATCTTTTTAAATATTGTTGGTTCGAATTCCCACCCCACGAATTGTACTAAAAAAAACTAAAAATAAAACAAAAAATAAGAAACATAAATGGTTACAAGACATATTTCTATTTCTGATTCTAGAAAATAAAGAAACAAAGGACAGAAAACGAGAAACAGTAAACAAGAAACAACAGGCCTCTAATAACTAAACTTTAACTTTTAAATATATTATAAATGTTTAAAGTATGCAGAGGCTTGAAATCATGTGGTTACGGGGGAAGAAGTCGATGAGTGTAAGAAAATAAAAATGCAAAGTTGGTGAAATGTTGGGTTAATTTTAGGACTAAGCTCACTTTTGTAATGTTACATCATCTTTCTCTCTCTATCTCTAAAACTCATGCAGAGGAATTTTCATTTTGAGATTGTGCTTTCCCCCAACCCAACCTAATCTTCCTATAATGCTTAATTAATTAGTCCCCTTTCCCATTAGATCTAAGGAAAAGAAAATGTTTTTAATGAAGCTAAAATATTCCACCAGAAAATTGACTCTCAGTTTTTCTCAAATTTATGGGAACAAGGAACATTGATTTTCTAATAAATGTTCACTTATGGCGAAAGTGGATTAAATTAAGTCATATATATGATTGAAGATTCAGTCTCCCACTTAAAAAGAAAAAATACAACTTCTTCTATATATTTTAATTAACTATGAAACCAAATATATTGGCCAAACTCAATAAAAAAAACACCTCTAATCATTGAGGCAATAGATTACACCATTGAGTGCTAAGTTATCAATTATGGCTCTACAACAAGATTTTCATCCATTAAAGTAAATTAACATCAAAAGGAAAAAAAKAAATCGTTCCAAATTCTGTCAAAATTTCAGTTTCTTCAATAGGAAATCTTTTACCCAGAAGCAATCTGAAAAGATGATAACACAATCCAACTTCAATTCAACTACTGTCTCAACTCCGTCCAACATAGGAACTGCCTAAACAAAAGAGTACACACAATGAGGGGAAAAAAATGAAAAAAGAATAATCTTTTGGCTGCTATTCAAACTTGGAATCAAAGACATTAAAATTATACATGTAAAACATATGCTCGTTTTTTTTCTTCTTTTTTTTGGGTTAAAAAATAGAACTACATCTTGATCATTAGAAACAAAAACAAGTTTGGAAACTATTCGTTCTCTAAAATTCTATAAATATTTTATATGAAATTTAATTTTTCAAATTAAATATTCAAAAAAATTAATTTTTTATTTTCATTATGCATTCTAAAAATAAAAATAAAATAATAAAATAATACATTTATCTAAAAGAACTTGATTTTGTTATTTTTCAAAATTTTTACGTAATTTTGGAAATGTTACTTAACAATGACAATTACCAAGTACTTGCATTTATAAAAACAATTAAAAATGATAAACAAGAAATGAGAATGATTACGTAGCCATAGTCCTAAATAAAGTAAAAATAATAATAGCAGAGTCAAACATGAGGAGGCAGAAGGGAAGAAAGGGAACCATGTCGGATTTCCGTAATTCAAGACATTTTCCAAGCGTTTGCAATGACCAGCATTAGTCCACACACGCATCCGGTTGTCAAACCAATCAATGCCACGTGCAGTTCATATCTGTCAGAAAGCAGATTTTTTTTAGGAATTGGGAAGGCAGAAAGAGCTGAATGGGTCATAAAAGTTTGGTTAAAATAGCAATTTCTCATACCAAATCTATCGTTTTGGTCTACAAAGCAAAGGCGAAAAATGGAATGTAGAATCAAATTTTCTTTCATACAGACCTTGAACGGCCTCTACACATGTTTGAATAAAAATAGAGTTGTGTGACATCATGTGCTGCCCATCAGACCAATGTGTTTCCTTTGACAAAGAGATATAATCTTTCTCTGTGTGTGCTTTGAAAGAATTCTGAACATTTAAAAGTATGATCCATAAACAATTGAACCTCTTGGATTGTGCTAGAATATCGGCATTACATATTTGTCAGACTTCTATCAATGGAACTACCTATAATAATCATATTTATTCTTAATTTCTCAAGAAAAAGGGAAAAAACCAAAGGAAACAAGCATACAATTAGATTATGAAGCAATCAAACAGATGGTAACTTGAATCCGAACAAGTCATGTATATTTAGTTATTGCCTTATTGGTATTAACAGCATACTAAAACACACCCATCAAAACTTGAGGACTAAATTTGTAATTTAACCTTGTTATTTATTCCCAAAAAGTAAAAAATAAAAACTATCATGGAATCAAATTATGAAACAGGCAAATAGTAGCTGACTTAATCCAAACAGGCTATCAACATTTGAAAATGGAGGACAGTTTTGTTACACACACCTTGCCGAAAGACGATGGATAGCGTGATAGACAACATTCAATCCCCTTCATCAGCTGCAGAAACTACCTGAAGATAAATTAAAACGACAGATCAGCTACTCATAAACCCAATCCAGTTCAGAGTTCATATTTCTGCATTTAGGCAGCACAATCAACGTGTCTAACCTGAATAGGTAGAAGTCCTTGAATTTAACCAAGATCAGTTAGGGCCGTGAGACTGAACACCTACGTCGAATGTTCAGATCTCGCAAATTATTGGACCTTCAAATGTCAAATCCACAGCTGGGTTGTTGTCATCTCGATGTCAGCTACTGAAAATATTAAGGTCAGAATTTTTTTCTAACCATAAGGAAAAAAAAACATACGGGGAGAGTGACTACTGATGACTCATAGACCATAGTAGAAAGTGGAAATGAGTTACCGTGTGGTATCTGTATCTTAATTCTTAAATCTTTAGGGAATCATAAATTCATTGATGGAAATCCAAATGCTGGTGACTAACCAGCACTTTCCAGAGGCCATAAAAGGTAAATGAGTCTCAAATGGGTTTATCACACAGAAATATCATGACTAGATAATAGGGGATCGTGATAGGAATGTCATTGGTGTAATTAGGGTAATTAATGAGATAGTAAGGGTATATTAGTAATTAGCTCAAGAATTGGTTAGTTATAAATAGAATGAGCGGGAAGTGATGAAGGTGGGTAATTGTTAGTGTGGTTTAGGCTTGATCTCTGAGAAGGTCCAAGTATTTCGAATTACTTTGAGATAATTGTGTCCTATCTTTTTTATCTTCCAATTTATTTCAGCTATTTGGATTCTATCATATTAACATCCTTTGAAGCATATGCTTTCTTGCTCCACAGATAATGTAAAAATACCGAAGTAATCTCTAATAAATAGGAAAAAAGGTTTTTGACACTGAATCAAATGTAATACAAATGCTAAATGTGGTCAACAGTTGCACCAAACCATACAGGTACGCCCGACTTTCAAGATATGGATGAGAAATAAAAAACATCTCATGAGGTTTTTAAAAAATATAACAGTAAAAAGAATGTATCTTATAGTGACTATCGCCATATTTTCAAATTTGATTCTTAACACCAATGAGAGGTAACTAAAAGCCTTGTGAAAATTTGAACGAACGAACTGCAGATATAAATATTATCCTAAAATGGATAATAAGGAGTTATATGAATAAATTACATGATTGAGACAATGCATGGTGATTGCTCAATTGATATTACACAGCTGCAGTACAATGCAGCATATAACCATAATTTAGGAGCAAGTGATTGTAAAAGATGGAAAGACGACTGCAAAACAAACGTGAAAGGAGGGAAAGGAGGTAGATCACATAAAACTAAGTAAAAAATCTAGAAATGTTAGATCAAGGGAGTTCGTGGAGAATTGAAGGGAGGCAGAAATTTTACTAAAAAATAAAAAATACAGTTAAACAACAGGTATGCTACAATTACGTCTAAGAATTTTTCTCTGAAAACAAAAGGAAAACAAGTAAAAGAGGCAGCACATAGTATGCATAAAACGAAGCAAAGGGCAACACGACAGTTAACCTCAGGCAATATGCTATAGACAACAAAAATTAAATGACTTACCAAAAGCATGCATCTTGTTTGATTTAGATTCTCGAAGTAGAATACTGGCAACCTGAAACAACATATAATAGCTCCATCTGTTAATAAGCCACAGGAATAAAGAGGACCAAAACGTATGACGACATTAACACTACTATCTATTATTCAGTTTCTCACTTGTAATTCTCCAGCACAAGGCGTTTTCTTGTTGATCTGACCTTGCTTTTCGACACGTTTCTCAGATTGAGGCATCGAGGAAAAAGAAAACCGCAGTGAAACATAAACCTGGCCATGGAGCAGCAGTACCTTGAAGAGACTGTGATGCGAAGCAATTCATTTGGAGAAGACAAATTCTGTTTAGATAACCAAACATGTGTCTCAGATGCTGATGGTGGAGCTTCCCATGGCTTTGACTGCAACATATGCCTAGACTCAGTTCAAGACCCAGTTGTAACAGTTTTTTTGTAGACAGAGCTTTTAATTGCTCTTCTTGTGGAAGAATTAACGGTAGTCACTTCATGCAAAAAGAATTTCTTCCCGTCCTTCTCAAAGCTGCATTTTCCACCAATAACGATGGAGAGAATTTTTTTTTCTCCACAAATCAGTTTTGTCTTCCATATGAAGGGACTTATTTATCCTGCAGTTGATAGAGTGGTGACACATCCAATTTGTAAACTTTATTTTAACCTACTCTATACAATTGTATGAAAATGGTAAGATTCCAATCAATTCAAGTCATAAAATTATTCCGAGTACATTGACTCAAATAAACAAGATCAATTTGATGAAGAAATGACAACAGTTTTTTTTTTAAAAAAAATAGAGCTCTCTTGCGTATTACAATGATTTTATGAAAACGGATCCTAGTTTCTTATCATAAAAACAATAAATTTAGCACCTAGTTTGAAACGGCACCTAGTCTCTTAATGGGGGAAAAATATGTGCACATGTCTCTAAATAAAACACAAATAATGTACTTCTAAGTGAACCTCTGTCTTACTTTGAAGTAATTAGTTATCCACGTGATACAGATTTTTACATCTTATCAATTATTATACTTATGTCTGTACAGAGATGAATTTAAAAATAAAACAAAAATATTATATAAGAAATATCAGTTCCACAAACTAGAGGATAAAACTCTGCGCTTCCCCTCCCCCAGTTTCATTTCTAATCAGTTCCTGGGTCATGATAAAGATGCTCAAGGATTTAGATAAAGCACAAATACTGTCTCGATACTTCAACTTGAAGTATATTGTTCATGGTAGACATTATTTGCCTAAAAATTGTCAATTGGTGATCAAGTTTTAATATATCACCTTATTGAGCTGAGAATACTTTGAAAATATTAAGGGTGACTCACCCTGCACATAAGTTTCCATCTCAATGCCATCTTATCAAAACGTACTATGCGAGGAGGGTCTACACCTTCAAATTTCCACCATAGATTTCGTTGACTGCCCCCTGATGATTTGAAATACAATGAGAACACGTGTATGAAAGGATTGAAAACCTTATTCAAAACATCTTCAATATAGAAAATAATTTCCATCTCAATGAAATCATGAAAGAAAAAGAAAGGTCCTACGGGACAATTCTATAAAAAGAATTGCATAGATAAATGACATGATTGGATCTTGAGGATAAGTGAGGAGATGGACGGAAATCTGAAAAGTATTACATCTCAAAATCTCCCTTCAGAGCTATTTTTCAAGACTTTTAATCATTACAATTATTTTCTTTTTATGAACCGTAATTGAAATAACTTCTTCTTCAAATTATTAATTTATAAATAGCGGTTTCTCACCTCAAATGAATTGTAATTACAGTTGAAATGACCGAAAAAGATATATGAGTTGATTCCTAATCATGAACCTTAAAAGGCCCTGAGGCACTTCCACTCGCCCTTAAATTAAGAATTAGAAGGACCTAATCTATATGTTCCATATTGTTTATAAAAATACCAACATATAAAGGTTAACCACATACCTCTCTACTCATTTGTAAAGCATGATACAAGAAAATTACTAGTGACATGAAAGAACCATTGAATTGACTCAATTAAAACTAAAACATTTGAATCCTCTCCATCATCATTTTATGGTGCTACCTGAAGGTAAGGATCAATAATGTTGAAGACTTCCAGAAAGAGCTGGGACTTTGTAGATAACCTGATACGAAAACAGAGGTGAATACTATGTAACATAAGAAAAATGTGATTCTAATATTAGATCAGCATGGCTATGCCTAAAAATTCCAGAAAATAAAACAAAAAAAGAAAGATGATAAGTATTGTAAAATTGGATAGCAAGGCAAGATCACTTGAAACAGGGACAGTTTCATGACTGTATCAGCTTGTCATCTTAACAAATATACAAGATTACCTCTTAAGAAGACGAAAACAAACATAGGTTTCCTCAATATCCAACTCTATATTTAGTTTAAAGTACTGCTTGAGAAGTTCACATAAACCATATATGGCACCATCCCAACCATCGGAATCTGCAGCCGAAGGATGCCAAGATTGAGATAAAATCCTTAGCAAAATCCCATATAGGTTTCCCGGTGACCCTGATTCTGTATACATCTCTGCAAGAAATTTTAATATCAAGCAATTGCTGGCTTTAAACTTATCAACCCATAGAGGAGGGTTCCCAGACCAAAGATCATTCTTCGTCAAAGAATCAATTAAGCCAAATGTATTGCCAATAGCTCCGCATGATTTCTGTTGATTTCCAATTGAATTTTCCAAAAAAAGCTCTTTCTCCCTGTGTGCAGGAAGCTGCTTAAGTATGTCAGCCCTCAGTGGTTCAGGTAACTCTTGTAATACAGACGGATCTACTTGACTTAGAGATGAAGGTAGTAAATCAATTCTATGAGATCCAGAGTTGGGGATAGGAGTCACCACATTGCAGAATCCTTCCCTAGAAATCTGTGCAGGTGGTGAATGTTTAATAATTTGCTGCTTTACATAGGACCAAAATCCATAATAATACATAAATGAGACAACGGCATAAACTTAAAGTGAGCTAGAAAAATAAAATGCTACCATTATTTTTGGTGAATACAAATACGTTAAAGGCATCTCTCCCCCATAGTAGATTATGCATAAAGATAAAAAAAGAGTGAAGCAAAAAATAGGAAAAAAAAAAAAAGAAAGAAAGTACAATCAGCTTATGGTGTAATCATTTGATGCTGTTAGTATAGCCCAACCAAAAATATGTGACATATTCCAAAGGCTCCACGCCATTAAATAATACCTTATTTTCTGACTGTATTTTGTTTTCTTGGACATCTGATAACGTACATCCATCATCTTCATTTATTTGCCAATAGAAAAAGGGGAAAAAAATCAGCATCTTTGTCAGCAGAAAAAGGACAACGCAGATTATTTTAAAATTAGCATAGCTATCCCCAAGTAAATTTCACCTTCTCCTACTCCTTGAGCCGAAACGCTTAAAGCGGAGGGAAAATCTTCACTTTTGTCTCTGCTTTTAGCTAGGAGATCTACTAGCTTCCCACCATAGATTTCATTCAACTCTGAAAAGAGTTCAGGAGGTAGGCTCCCTATAACTCCAATATCCAGATGGCACAGAGGAGGAGCTGAAACCTGATTCAAAGCTTCACTATGGTGCTGATTATTATCCACCTGAATCAGATCGTTTGTCGCATCAGCAGATAACTGATCTGGAGTTCCAGAGTCACTCTGTTTATCACTATCTGTAAAAATTATTACATACAAAGTAAGAATGATGCCTTTAAGGACAATTCAACCGTTGTATACACTATCAATGCAAGGAAAACAGTCATCGATACTTAGAAAAAGGTGGCCTGCCTTGTAGTATGAAATTTGAAAACATATAACATGAACTTATAGATGGAAAAACCTAAAACCTTATGTTGAAGAGAAAATGGTTAATATTCACAGTGGAGAAAAATTGTGTCCATAGAAAGTAGCCAACAAAAGGAAGCCAAATAAACGTTCAAAAAAAAATCCAAAGAACCAAATAAACCAATCATGACTATGGTCACGTGCCAGTTAATTGTTTATGGTGATTAACTAACTTTGTGCTTCCATTTTTTAATTTATTCATCGCATGCACTTTCAAATGACAAAAGCTTACTACTTATAGAAGCATCGATTGATTACAGCATACCAAGGTGGTGGTAAACAAACTCCACAATTAGAAAGCTCAAACAGCTTATTTGTCTAAAGATCATACCAATGAATAGAAAGTAAAATCAAATCCCAAGTTCATTTGAAGTCTCACCATGTATCTTATGTCATGCTGCATGTAAGCAACGGCATTTGTATTCATGGCCACACATAGTTGCAAGTCCATTTCAAAAAATATTAAAACTAAATTATATAAAACTATTCTAATAAGTATTATGGCAGAATATAAGCTTATAAATTTCCAATATCCAAACCTCCACGCTCCTTGAGAAATGAATATGCAAATATGGAAATACCAATGCCTCACAACTAGAATTCTAGCATTACCTTTGCAACCACAAAAAATATAGCATTATTCCTAAGGTTGAGCTTCTCACGAGTTATGCAAATAATCCTTATTACTAGAAGAGCTACACTAACGTTCTTTTCTCTCATCAAATCAGAAAGTATTACTGTCACTATCATATCAATATATTATAAAAGGAAAAAGACAAACAAATAAAAAATACAGCTGTTCAGCCAGCATGATGCCCAGCGATCATCGCTTTCTTATCGTTACAACTTACAATCCGGATAGTCATAATAGATTCCCATACCTTGAATTCTTAGATCAAATACAACTAATACCCAAGCAAGAAGCAATAAAGAGAAAAGAAAAGCAGTACATCAACCTAAAAGGAGAAAGAGAAAAGAAACAAAGACCACTGGCAGATGAATTCCCATACCTATATTAGCCCTGTCCTTTACCATAGGACCAGTACTATTTTCTACATCTGTAGTTGCAGATGAAGAATTAAGCCATGTGTCCAAAGAATTTCTTTTCATCCCTTCAAAAAGAACACAAACACATGAAACCAACTTTACCACAAAAGACATGTTAAAGGGTGAAAGACCAATGATAATACACCTATTATTTAATTAGTTGTATAAATAAAAATTTGGCAAAGAGTTCCTTATTTCTTTTGTAAATTGCAAGCAGAAGTTTAATTACTTCTCTTTTAATATGAAATGGAGACTTCTTTCAAAATTCAAAATTGATCCAATATTAGATTCTAGGAGGATATATATAATTAGATATCAGGAGCCCCTGAGTCCCTTAGTAGTTAGTACCTACCCAGAAATTACAGCTTCGTGAAGGAGTGTTGGAACGATGATGTTAATAAATGGATCACAATTTTGGAAGGCCACTTCATGCTAACCTATCGATTGGATGTGTCAAAACTTTTCCAATATTACTTATAGTGTTGTTTCTGTATTTCTTGTTCAGCAAGTTATCAATACAATTTCTATTTCAATTTTTTGGTCACTAGAACAGACAAAGCAACCAAGAATTATCCTCTACTGGGCGTTTCAGTAGGGCCTTGACCGACAGGAAAGGATTGATGATGAATTCCTTATATTTAATTCTTAGGATCGTGTCGAAAATGTTCCCCCAAAATTACAGAAAGATCTTCCCGTCACTATATTTGCATATCCCCAACAGGTCTCAATAATGTTGACTTCATTTACGAGGGGGTGACATGGTCTTGTTTCTCAATATGAAGGATTATTATTCCTTTTCCTCACATAACCAACATCAATCATCGGCGTATCTTTCCCCATAAGCACCATTTTCTAATATTCCTCACTAAAGAAGTTTTTTATTTTTAATTGGGAGTCAGTGCTACCCTATACCCAGGGACACCCGTACCTGCTCCAAGCCCCAAACCTAGGAGACGTCAAGGATTTTTGGTATTGAGCTCATCAAAAAGTCTAAACTTGAGTCTTCTAAGCCAATATGACCAAGAGACTTCAAACCCTTGCCAACCAAGCTACCCTAAGCCAATATTAGCTCATTGAATCTTTTTCATCCTTTTAATTGAGGCCCCGTCAAGTTCTCTTTCATTATTCATACACATTTCCAATTCTACAGAAACAAAATAAATAGTACCTGAAAATCAAAAAACAAGATTAACTTACGTTGCTTAGAGATATCCACATTTTGAAGCTTCGAAACTTGTAAACCAATACCACGAATTTCTTTGACATCTATATGCACCAAAAAGGACAACATGGAAACTCTTAGAGAAAAGAATATGTATTTAACTTGATTAAAAAAAACATTTTTAGTCTAGAAAGGGAAAACTAGAATGTATTTAGAAAATATGAGGGGATTAAAAAGGCAGTATTATTATATTTTTTTTAACACTGATTCTACGTTGAAAAGGCCGCTGAAACAGTTCAGGATTGCAAACAGCAATGTTACCATTGCTGAAAAGTTATAATTACGCCCAATTTAGGATTACCTATGACAAAAAACCCAAAGAGCTGCTTTGCAATCCTCTGAAGAATTTCCAGATCGTCAGTGGCAACAGGAACCTAGTAGCATGAAAAACTTAAACCTTAAGATGCCAAGATCATACAAATAAAAAATAAGCATCATACAATTGCATAAACATGGTGAAACTTATCCATTCATATAAAAGAAATAGGAGTATTTGTCAGACAACTACCGTTAATGAGTGGCTCAGGTTTTCACAATCTCCACAACCCATATACTTTATGGGTTCATCAGCATCTTTTCTTCGTTTTTTTATCTAAATCAAAGCAT